AGTTTCATGCAATGTTTCGCAGCGAGAGACGAGGACTACATTATTTGCATGTTATATTGATTATTTAAAACTAAATCCATCACCAGTCTGAACGCAATCCACGCAGACCTGAATCATCTCATATTAAAAAAAGAAAATTATTAAAAACCGATAAAATAGACTCTTTAAAAGTGTGAACCCTATTTACAGGGATTATCACGCAATGTATCGCAGGAGGGACGCAGGCTACACGCGTGATACTGCAACTTACTAATTCTAAACAGTTTTAAGGTAAAATGCAGTTTATTATACTACGAGCCACTGTTTAAAAAAGGTCTCAAATCTCAAGGTTTTTATAAAATACGAGTAAGTAACGCTCTAATGCAAAAATCTTGCGTTATTTTTCGTGAAGTAGAAGACAACGAAAAAAAACTTCTCGCTTTATTTTTGAAACTTGGATATATGTTTTAAAATTTAAAGAATTTTGCACTTTATTTATCACTTGTCTGAACTAAAACTCACGCAATCCACGCAAATCTTTATTTCCAGAAAGTCACGAAGAAGACTTTATAAAAATGGCGCGTGACGAAAAACTAAAAAAAAGACTATAAAAACGGCGAGCGTGTGAACCCTATTCACGGGGGTTATCACGCAATGTATCGCAGAAGGGACGTGGATACACGCGTGATACAGCGACCTTCCTTACCCTTCGGGGCTCGGATTTCTTGCATGACTTTTGAATTATATCTGACAGTTTGTTAGGATACGTTTGTTAAGATTTTTATTATAATATTTGCGCTAGTCTAGACCACTCAAACTATAGTTCACCGTTATTGTAAATTCTTATAATAGCACGTAACGTTAAATTAAATGTCTGAATGGTAAATTTACTCAAATAATATACTATTAAATATTTCAAGTAACGGTGTAAGTAAGTTTAGTATTGGAATTTTCTCTTATACCTACATCAAAATCAATTGCTAAATAAGTACGATGGCATTACACAAATCTCGAGAATAGCTGGATAAATACGTGGATTTTTTTCGAACTTCGTTGTAGGCCGTGGATTATGGAATAAGAGAAAATGGAATAATTTAATTTAATTGTATGACAGAACACACACCCGAAAGAACGAATCTAAATATATTGTAAAAGGAGAAACAGACTGACTCACTGATATATCAACGCACAGCCTAAACGGCTAAACTTAGGCACTTGAAATTTGGAAGGGACGTAGCTTAGGTACCGTAGAGGTGCACTAAGAAAGGAATTCCTGAAATTCCTACGGGAACGGGAATTAGCGGGAAAATCCTTTTGTATGAAAAATCTAAACCGCATAAGTTAGATGCTTGAAATTTGGCATGCAGGTACTTTAGTAAACTTAAAACTTAGTTACAACAGGATATTGCAAAATTCCCAAGGGAACGGGAGTTAGCGGGAAAAAACATTTGTATGAAAAAATCTAAACCGCGTAAGATAGATGAAGGGGGTAAAACGGGATCCACGCGTACGAAGTCGCGGGCGGCCGCTAGTAGAACTCTATTTTGGAGAGAATAAAATAAATAAAATAATAATAAGAACTACCTGGTAGTAAATATTTTATGTACGAAAAGGTTCTGAAACATTTGGTTAATGTTATTGTTAGAGTTTGTAATTTACACTCATTTTGAGACAGTCTTCGATACCTACTAAATATTGCATTTGTCAAAAAGTCTATTAGAAATGAACTATTGCCTAAAATATTCTGGCAAAGCGGGACATAAGCTATAATAACTCATATTTTCTGACAAAGAACAATAAAGCTGAGTTGCACCACCTAAATTTAACGGTAACTATGACGATAACCGGTGATTTTTGTATGGAGTTTGACAGATTTTTGACGTTTGTCAAAGTTAAAGTAAGATGGTGCAACAACCTAGCCTTAGATACGTTTAATTTGTTAAATGTATGTCTACAAATTGCTCATTAACACCACATTAAGCCCTTATTTACAACGTCAATTGGTATAATAATTATGACACTTTTTCAGGTGATATTTAATGATACGACCCAATTATTAAGTGGTTTACGTATCTTAAAGCACAAACGTTTAGATTGTTCTATTCACGTTAGCGTTTGATGCTCACAATAACTAAAATGTTAAAGACATCAACTAATTTATTGCTACGAAAGCTTAGTTATTAAATTAATTGTCAACAAATTACATCATTCAAAAACACGCATATTTTAGATAAATTCTACAGTTAAGTAGTAATTGTCAATGTATAAAGTCGAGCCTCAACCCTTTAACATCTGTAAATCACTTCATTGTTCAGTAAAATCACTGGCTAGTATTTAACCGTTAACTACTCGCGGTGGAACGCAAACCACAATAAATAATTCAGTCCCATCAGATACGGCGGTGGTTGAGTGGAAACAATTTGAAGCGTTTATCAGATGGGCACGCCCGCAGAGGCGTTACGTAGAAAACAGCTCACCTGGATTACGTTTGTTAAACATTTAAGGGTTAATTTTGGTTGTTTTGGAAAATAAGCGATGCCTGTTGTCTGGCGTAGCTTTAGTAGAGTTTGAGTGAGATTACTGCCGTTTTTTCATATAGAAGAAAGTCTTTATATCACCTGGATTACGTTTGTTAAACATTTAAGGGTGAATTTTGGTTGTTGATTCGGATGCGATTTGGAAAACAAGCGAAGCCTGGTTAGGCTTTAGTAGAGTTCGAGTGAGATTGCTGCAGTTTTTTTATATTGAGGGAACTTTTGTTGCTAACTTAGCAGTTTGTGTAGGCTCACCTGAATTTCATATTCTAAACAATAAAGGGTTAATTTTGGTTGTTTGTACGAATGCGAATTGGAAAACAAGCGACGGCTGTTGCTCGGTTAAGTTTTAGTAAAGTTCAAGTGAGATTGGTGGGAAAGTATTATATTGAAGGAGCTTTTGTTACCGACTCAACAGTTTCCTTAAGGCTCACCTGAATTACCGTAAGTTATACACATAAAGGTTAATTTTGGTTATTTGTGCGGACGCGATTTGGAAAACCTGGCTGTTGCCTGCCTTTTTAGATTTCGAGTTTTGCTAACTAATTGTTTAAGATCACCTAGATAAAGGATGTTAAATATTATGGGGTTAATTTTGGTTGTTTTGGAAAAGAACCGATGCCTGTTGAATGAAATTAGCTTTAGTAGAGTTCAAGTGACATTGCTTGTACTTTTTATATTGAAAAACCTACGGTTGCTTACTTGACAGTTTCCTGAAGGCTTACCTGTATTACCGTAAGTAATACCTACACTTAAGGGTTTATTTTGGTTGTTTGTGGACGCGATTTGGAAAATAATAGATGCCTGTTGCCTGGTTAAGTTGTAGTTCGAGTGAGATTGCAGTATTTTTTTTATAAAGGAAGCTTTTGTTGCTAATTGTGTAGGAGTAGGATCAACTGGGTAATGAATGTGAAACATTTAAGGGTTAAATTTGGTTACTAATTAAGTTCGAGTATGATTGCTTTGGTTTTTAAATAAGTCGCAGTTTGACAACCGTTAAGTTATAACTTTTGAATTAGTTTCATCATTGTAAGCGATTTAGGGCAAGTCTTTTAGATAAGTATTCGAGTTTTTCCATTTGTATTAGGACATGTAGCAAATAAAGATGGTAGGACTAATCCCGTATCAAGAATGTCATCAGCTGTTCAGTCGAACATAAAATAAAATAAAATATGTTATTTTGTATTTTATAATTCATCAGAAACTATGATTTTTTATTGCATTTGTTTTTGAAAGTAATCTATTATTTCATTTCATTTCATTTATTCATTCCAAAAACAAAATACATTATACAAGAAAAAGGTTTTTTTTATTATGCCTTGCATTTCGCATTAGCAAGTTTTCACGACAAAAGAAAAAGCTCCATAATATGAAAGTCTACCTGGCGATAAAAGTTGATTGAAATTCGTAAGCACCAACTACCTACCTCGAAATGAAATACATGCCTGCCTTTAAAGTAGGAATAGTTAAGTGGTGCCTAGGCTTTAGAAAAAGCTAACAACCTTTTAAGGTCCTATAAGTTTATCGCATTTCTAAAAATTTTCTTTGAAATTAATATTATAATAATACAAGTACATATAGTTGTCAAACTTCAAAGTTATAAAAGTACTTTATAAAGTCGACAATATAATTTACACTGTTTCATACCTGATAACCTACATTTTCTGAGATTTGAAATGATCATTTAACTCTATGATCTATGTTACACGCATTATTTTAACATTTCACGTTAGAATATTTCCCGAAGAAAAATTTAAGAAGTTAAAATAATAGTAACCATAAAAAAGTAATGTTTCTTGAAGTTGAAAAGTTTACGAAATATTTTTGTTCGTCATTTTTAAGTACTAACCTATTTTTTTTATTTATGAATTTAGTACAAATGTAGTACAAAGTGTTGAGGAAAATGATGAGTCGAAACAATAAGTAGGCTTGCTTTTTAGATTAAAGCAACCGATTGGTTATTTTATTTTAAAATATTTTTTTTTACAACGCGGTTTTTATTTTACTATAAAATTTTATAAAAAAAAAACGTTTTCAGTAAACATAAAAAATCTCGTATAAGGATCTATTTACATGATTTTGTATCTTGTGGTTAGAATACAGTGAAGAAAAAAGCCCTAAAATCATTATAATAATGACGCACAACTTTTCATTCATTCAGAGATCCTCAAATACACTCAACACAACCTATTTTTTCTCTAGCATACATTTCACTTAAAAATTCACAGTTATTGTTATTATTATTTGTAACAAATCGTCGAAAGCATTTCGTGAAATGGTTTTACGAGCGTGGGATTTGTGCGTAAACGTTTCATATTTATTTTATTGTCTTGACACTTCTTGAGTATTGCACGTCGAATACACCGCTGAAATAAACCGCATTCTAATCATAAAACGTGTTGCACTAATAGCGTATTCGGTACGCACGACGAAAATTCGTTCAAAAAAATATTTGTCGAAAAAGTTGTATTAAAAGCGTGGACTTACCACACAGGGCGGACTAGTGCCGACATCGCTATAACCCGGCGGGAAGCATCGCACTAAATGTTTGTTAAAAAAATCACGCTCGCACTAAATTGATCACTGCACTGAACTAGCTTTGCATTTGTTTGGTAGCGGCGTAGGGTCTACGGCGTAGCACTGGCTACGGTGGGAAAGTTTGTCCTTGTTCCGTAGCGGCCGCGGGTGGGTCGGGTCGGACGCGGCGCGGAGCGGGCGACTCGCGGGGCGCGCTGCGCGGACTATGCGGAGCCGCGGCCGCGCGCCAGCGGCGGAGCCTGCGCGCGCACGCCCTGCCCACCGCCCCGCCCCACTCACCCGCAACCTATTTATTTCTAGTTACGTAAAATTTACGCGCAATAACCGATACTGCATCTAGCTTATGTTACCAGCAATGCACACTAGATATATTTATTCTGAGTCTGCTCAGACTCTATCAAAAGCATATTTGTATCGATCTCTCAAAGTCTCAATCGCTATAAACCGCATGACAATCTCATGGGGCGGCTAAAGAAAAAGTTTAAAGAGCTCCATCGATCACACAAATAGGGAAAAGCAGAAGGCCGGCGTTAAATGCCAATCAGTGTTTTCACGCGAGCCACTCCTGCCCCGGGCAGGTGAGGCGTGAACCGAAAAAAGAAGTCGCCGCCGGCCGCCGGGGGCGGATGTCAAATTTGGCAGACGAGTTTTTTCGACCGCAGCCGATGCTATCGATGTCACTTAGGCGCCTGCTGTCTGTCGCCCTCCCATTTAGACGTTGACTTAACGTCGCCCAAAAAAACGTCTCGCTCCCGATGCGGTCGCACAGCTGAGGCGACGCCGCATCCGCGATACGCATTGCGCGATTAAAGCAGAACTCCGATAAAGTGTGTCGTCACAATCAGCTGTTCGCGCCGCGAGCGCAACAGACAATGCGATTAAGATCTACGCAGGACAACTTTCGCCGGCGCGCCGAGCGGCAGTTAGTTGTTATGAAAGAGAGAAATTTGTAAATTGTTGGCGCCCGAGTTCGCGAACTCCGTCGAACCGGAGTTTGTTTTAAGAGTCCAACCTTGAAACAAGAAGAAAAGTAGTCCTGTAAAACAAAGTTTTGCGGCCGCCGTCGCCGGCGCAAGCGGTTCAAGGATTGTGCCCGAACTGTCTGTCTGTACAACTTTACCGATTAAAAGCTCAAAAGCTTCCAAAGTCATTTTAAAAGTTTATCTGCACGCGGGCTCGCGGCGTGGCGGGCCGGGGGGCGCGGCGTAGCGTAGGCGCCGGGTTCGTTATCATGCCGGCACAATACTGTAGTTAAACCTAGTTTGTCTTATTTATAGATCGAGGAGCGATGGCGGGTCGCGGCGTCCCGCGCGGAACTGTCAAGGTTGGGCCGGGCGGCCGCGGCGGCCTCGCAGCGGACATATGCTCCATCGCCGAATAGTTGCCGACGTACACACTAAGTTCCTAGACCCTTCGCTACTTTGTTTTACAGCTGTTCCACTTAGCGAACTATGCCTCGAGTTGGGCGCGAGTTCTTGCATGTATATCGGCACACACCCGCATCCGAATAGTTTCATAAACATAACCCAACTTAGTTTTGGACGACTTTTCAAAGTCAATGCATACTAACTTTCGATGTCTGCGAGTGCGATATTACGATTGGATCAGTTCGCGGTGACTTTAATGCATTCGTTTGTTCGGAACTTTGTTTTATTGGCCCAAAGTTCGCAACAAGGTTAAGTGTCTTCATTTACTTTGCGTTATTAAGTACTGTTGCCGTGACTCAGTTCGGGGCTGTTCCGTGTCGCGATTATGAAGTGAATAGATGTAATAAAAATTAAAGTATTTAGTAAGGTTTGAAGAGAAAAGTTCGACTAAGGAAAACTTCAAACTTACGAAGTAAGTTATTTATACGGAAATTACAGGTATCTAAGAAGGTACTACATTTTTTATTATGATACCCCATTTTTTGAATGCCTTATTTAATTAGCCTAAAGCTCAAGTTCAAAACCTTGTCTTTTGAGAAATTAATTCAGATGGAATCTTAGAAGTTCTAACGCCTCTTAGGTATTCGTAGAATATTAGTAGCGTAGGTCGTGCTATCTGTCACGAAGATATTGTAGTACTGAGCTAAGTTAATTCAGGTGCGTAACTTAATGTTTAAAAGATAATTAATTACAACCTACCTAAATTTTTATTTCTAGTAATTTGTATGTTGTTTCGCTATTTTTTTGTTTACCTGCCATGTTAATTATTACGATAAAAATTAAGATAAATTACGCTTTTAAATAGTCTTTCTATGTCCTTTCGTCCTAATATAATATTTGAGATAGGTATTTACCAATGACGATATAATCAAAATGATAACTAAATAATAGATGCAATCAGATGTAGAGGTCTCAGCTAGATAGATTTTATGTTAATAATGTCATTGTAGATTTATTTTTTATTAAATTTCATTTTGTATTGAAATAAACATCATACCTACTGTTGTAAAATTGTATCGTATTCACAAATACTGTTAACTATTAATTTGCCAGTAGATGGCGTTACGAGTCTCATAAAGGCTTCGACGTGAATATTAAAGGTTCATTTATAATAGGCACCATCCATTACGGTTTCGCGCATCACATGAAAGAATATTAAAAAAGTTTCGGGATACATTCCTAGAATCATTCTAGCGAATGTATTAATTCACTTTATTCAGGGAACGACTGAGGTCCTATCATGTACAGTTTATTAATGTTGGGCTTTGAAAAAGCTAATTTTGACAAAGGTACTTTAACCGACTGCAAAAAGGAGGATTTTTAATTCTGTACTGTATTTTTTTGTGTATTTAGGTAGGTAGATAATATAATATAATATATTTTTACTGGAAAATATAGAGTTTCGACAGCACATCAGCCGCAACCTCAGCTGGCGTTAGTCCACGATAGCAAAAGCAATATGGCGTATCCTACACGAAAAATAAATTGGACATTACTAGTAGAATTACGTCATAGCGTTTCTTTTCTCACTCAATTCCAATTCCAATGCTATTGCTTATTTATTTCTCTCCAGGGAGCCTTCAGAAAACGTTGAAGCACGATTCGTCCTCATAATCAGCGTAATTACCGAAATCTCCGTCGGAAAGTCACGATCAACAGCCTGGCAGATAAAGCTGCCGCAACCCCACAGCTGTACACGTCACTACCATTTAATCCTGACCTACCCTGCCCCCTTCAAATTTAAGAGAAAAGGAAAGTTACTGCTACGTTTGCTCACGAACAAGAGCTCAAGGTATTCTGGCCGCGAAGTACGTGCTATCTTGGTTCGCCAATAAGTCACAATAATTACCACAAGCTGGGATCACGCTCCCCCGCACATATTTATGCACGTTACATAAATATAAATATCGCATGCGACAATTGCAGCGTTTTATGGTTTTAGTAATTGCCGCCGCGGGCTCGCGACTTTATGACGCTCGAGGACGGACTAATGTAACCTTTTCGTGGATTTCGCTGGAATATAGTGCTCAAATGAAATACACATTTTGATCAAAACTTTGAGCGTGGTAGTTCCGACTAATTTCAAATAACTAGAAGTGCTAATCACACTTTTTCTTACTAGCCTAGCCTAACTTATATTACACTAATTCAGTAATATTTATTTCTAACTCAATCTGAAAAGATGTTTCAGCCTATACACGTGTATGAGAAAGTATTTAATCAATAGAACAAAATATATACCGGATTCTTTCATGTACGAATCCTGTCCTAAACGTACGTAATCCTAGATGAACTCTGTCGTTTTTAATTTTAATTTTCATATGCCTATTGAGTGTAACTTTAAAATTCTGATCGTGGATGGAAATCGATTTACTGAAAATAGGTGATGTTTAAAAGAAGATTTGGTACTTACGTTTTTGAAGTAGACGGTCGAAAAAGCTTATGTGTTATTTCCCCATTTGCATGGTCTTGTGCCTGTAACAAAAGAAAATATTGTGTTATAAACACATAAATCATTTAACTCTTGTTATAATCAGAGGTTTACTTAGTAGGACTTTTGAGACAAACTTATTTTTTTATGCAGAACAAGGCAGGTATAGTATTTGAGCGCAATCGCACCTGATGTTAAGTAGAGTGTTAACCTTGAAACGGCCCGGATTATAGTGTTCGGGAAAGAAAGTTCCATGTGCTCTATCCTAATATCCGGGCATTATTTAATATTCATGTACTTATAAATAGAAAGTTTAGAAAAATATTTTTGGAAATAAAGATCCCGTCTTTAGATAGGCATAAGCGTGCGTACAAACAAAATTATAGTTTTAACAATTTAAACACGGGGTAGTTATTCAATATTGACGCAAAAGGACAACAAAAGCCTAAGCATTGGTTTAGTGTTGGGAAATTACGGGTTGACGTGTTTACAAACGTTCAAATGTGGTTTTAATTGATCTAACTGAGCAGTCACAAATCTATTTAAAGTACGGTTAGTAAAACATTTTTCAGTATAGTTTTAAGACAAGTTTAATTAAAACATGTTACGACATTATTTGATTTAAAGTAGTCAACAAAAATATTATTAAAAGATTGATGCCATCACTATGCAAAGTTTTCACCATCAATCCCTAATTTTTATGTAACCTAACACATAACAGGCATTTTGTTTTCGTAGGGGTCACTTAAAAATTACGGATTGATGGTGAAAACGGGCATGAGTCCAATAAAATAAATAAGGTCTCAACAGAGTTTCAATTTTACACAATAATCCTGTCTATAGTCCAATAAAAATGATTTCACGCTTCTGATAGAGCTATGTCTTACGCCTCTACCTTATAAAGTCTGTTATCATCATAAGGTGATATTTGGTATCGACGAAAAAGAAGACTCCCCAAAAGAATAAGGCTGAGTTGCACCGTCTTACTTTAACTTAGACAAACGTCAAAAATTTGTCTAACTCAATACAAACACCGGTTAATGTTATTGTTACGGTTTAAATAAGGTGGTGCAACTTAGCCTTAAAAACACATTTTAATCTACAGAAAACTGGCAATATTTTTGAAACCAAGTCCTTGTCTTGCTATCGGTCCGCAACCAGCATGTCAACACATGTTACTGCTCCGTACCGAAACCGTAAATTTCATTTTAATATAGCACGTAATGCCTCCGTAATTGATACGGCCCTTCGTCTAATGC